TGTAAAGCCCATCTATAGGAATCCCGAATCAATTATGGGATTATTGTATTTTATGTATATGGTATAATTAGTGTTAAAGTCAGGAAATATCTTTTCCTTTTTTTTTTTTTAATAACCGTGGATGTCCGGGCCAGCTTGTACACACCTTGACTAATCCCACGAAGAATTAAATCTTCTCACCTTATCTATATGGTATCAAAGCTCGGGCAAAACTAAACCCAACAATCAATGGCTGAAAAGACAGCCAACGGCAAGGAATCAGCCTTCTCTGAGTCAGGAACCAACGAGGACGAGACTATCACCACCGTGAATTCAATTGGAATCGATAATTCCTCCTTTCAACTCACGGTGGAGAAATTCAATGGAAAAAACTTGAGGGAATGGGCTCAATCAATCAAATTGGTGGTCGATGGGAAAGGAAAAATTGATTTATCTTACAGGAGACGCAAAACAGCCCACCGATGCAAACCTCCAACAGAAATGGAAATTTGAAAATTCCATGGTAATGGCTTGTTAATTCGATGAAGCCGTCAAGTGGCAAAATTTACCTCTTCATGGCTACCGCGAAGGACATATGGGATGTCGTTCGGGAAATATATTCCGATGCAGAAGACTCGTCCCAAATTTTAAAATTAAAACAACATTGTGGCAGGCAAAGCAAGGAGGAAGGGAAGTCACTAATTACCATATGGAAATCACCACCTTCTGGCAAGAAGTGGATCTCAACGTTGACGAACAATGGGATTGCCCCAGTGACACAGTTTGATACAAAAAAGGGGTAGAGAATGAACGAGCATATGAGTTCTTGGCTAGGTTGAATAGGAAGCTACACGATGTGAGAGGACAAATCCTTAGCCGCCAACCACTGCATCCACACGCGATGTCTTCGTCGAAGTCCAGCGAAAGAAAAGTCGCCAACAAATCATGTTGAAACATCAGAAAGAGTCTCTTATGTCTGTGGCCTAAGAATGGTAAAAAAACCTGGCAAACCATATACCCGCGAGCCCCGCCCAGAACGGGGTAGGAATAACCCTCTTAATTGGGTATTCGGGTCGGGGA